GAAATGCCTGACGTAGGACTTTGCCAGGGAGCAATTCCCAACTTCACACCATTTCCAATACCTAAATCACCACTCTAAGCACAGAGGGGATACACTAACTGAATTCTACACCTCAGTTTTGAACATTTCTTTACGGCTTTAAAATGCATTGGTAAGTATATGTCAATAATACACCCGTGCCAGGCACTTTCTATGCTTTGTCTCATTCTTACATAAAATCTATGAGCTAACTTCCTGCTGGCAACCGTCACTAAGCACCATACCATACAGTGGACATCACTATGTGCAGATATCTTTCAGTACTAAGAACAACACCATCCAATAGAAAACTGCAGCCATTGCATTTCCCTGACAAAGAAGTGGAGGCTCAGAGAGAACAAGTGATTTTCCCAAGGGTACATAGGTATCACGACCAGAACTTAAACTCATTGATTCACCTCCTCTGCTCTTTATTAGACCTATGTGAGTTTCCCCCAGTGAGAGACAGTTCAGCAGGGAGACTGTACTAGCATGTATTGAACGCTTCATCGAGTTGCTTATGAATGCGACTCGGCTAATTCTCCCATGTTGACACGATTGACAGCAGAATTATTTTCTATTTGTCTGTTATTTACTTTCTCTTCACCGTACCAAGATGACTGGTGGGCAATCCCAAGCATTAGCTATTTCACAAACTCTGAAGTCTCTGAACAGCAACACTTTATACCGTCAGGATCTTGACACTGTAGCTTAACTCCAAGCTGTGCACAATGAGGTGGTTTACCGCAGAGCACACATACAACTTCATCTGCCGTGTAACACAAAATATTAGGAAATGTAACTCAGGACAAAGATAAATGGAGCATGATAAATAAAAGGCCCAGAGTCAGACATCGGGCTTCAAGCTTCAAGCTGAAGACCAGAAAAGCAAAGCAGCAGCCGCTAGCTTTGCTTCAGCTCGGGCCAAAGGAGCAAAACTCAAACTGCTCCCGACTTCACTGCGACTCAGATTCACTCAGAGAGTTATGCTCTCCGAAACGTGGCTCGAGACTTAACTCTTAGACTGAATGCCAGCTCTGAGACCCTGCGCCTGTCTTATATCCCCCCAATGCTGGAATTAAAGGCGTGTGATCCCAGGTATTGATCA